CCTAAAGGAGACTTTAACTTTTACCAAAGTAGTTTTTTGGTAAGATACTTGTACTTTTACTCAAGTATCACTATGTGGTACTTATTACATCACTGGAAAAAGTCCAGCTACCCTGTGGAACCATCTTTATCTGCCATCTTGTTCTTTCGGTCACCACCCACAGGTCATGGCCATAGGTGAGGGTAGGAACGTAGCCTGATCAGTARACAGAGTTTCACCTTACACCTCAGCTCTAACACTTTCTTTATACTGACTAAAAGAATAGTTTGTTCTAATTATTTACGGGTGGACTATCTTCATTTTTCCATTAATTATGAAGGTGCTGCAGAGTCTGTTTAGTATTTTAAATCCTGCCTGAAAAATCACTTTTTACAGGCTTTTAATTCAAGTTCAGTTTGAGTTACATCAGAAATTTGGAATTGTGTCTTTTAWCTGTTTTTAACCTTTTTATTTTATCCATGGTTTTAAACACTGTTGTTTTTAAATGTGCTTTACTGTGTAAATAAATTGATGGACTGATTGAACGTACAGTCAGATCAGCAATAAGGAGGTATGAAATATCAAAAAGGGAAAAAATGACCATGTTTTTTTAGGTTGCTAAATGCACTCTATAAAGTTTGACAGATGTCTGCTACATTTTCCACAGAACATTTGTTTGAGGAAATTTTTAGAGTAGAATCTGAGCGTTAATGATTAACACTGTTCCCCATCAGTGTTGTACTGAGCTGAACTGTATTTTCCTTCTCTGCAGAAACCCCTGATGTTCTATTACATTCTATAAAATGAGTGAAAGCATTGTTTAAATGTCTCAACATGAACCTGAACTGCTTGAAGGCAGATCCCTGACTTCTAACAGCTGCTCCTACACTGTGATGTCTAACAGAAGTATGATTTTTGTGTTTTCATCTTCAAACACGCTTCACGAGCAGAGATCCAGAACTACCTTGTGCTCTGCAGGACGAAGGCGTTTCCTGTCTGTTCGAAAGTCACCATCTTGGTCGGACTGAGAACCCAGAGAAGCTTGAAACTTTTCAGACAGACGGGACGCTAAAGTTGCTTTATTTTGAGACTCTTCTGGTAATGAAGCTGAAACACAGAGAAAAGACAACACATGAATACACTGGTCCAATAAAAAACACAGTTATGACTCAGTTAATATCTCTGCTGAAGCTCACATCTGATAAACTGCTACAATATTAGGAGTGATACAATTTAGTTTGGTTCATCCTGTGAGTGAGTGAGTGAGTGAGTGAGTGAGTGAGTGAGTGAGTGAGTGAGTGAGTGAGTGAGTGAGTGAGTGAGTGAGTGAGTGAGTGAGTGAGTG